CCAAGGAGTTCTTATTTTTTTCTGTTATTCTGTGCTGAGCACTTTGTTTTTAAATTGTGAAAAAAATATATATAACATAGACTCTACCATTAAAACAATTTTTTTTCATACTGGGGGTTGAACCCAGGGCCTAGCTATATCCCCGTCCTTTTACACTTTTTTTTTATTGTGAGAAAGTATCTTGCTATATTGCCCAGGCTGGCCTCAAACTTGTGATCCTTGGGCCTTAGCCTCCTGAGTAGCTGGGACTACAGGCATGCACCATCACACCTGAATCACTTTAAGGTGTACACTTCACTGTCACTAAGACATTCACATTGTTGTACAACCATCTCCAGCACTTCTTTTTAATCTTCCCAAATTGAACCTCTGTACCCATTCAATAGTAACTCCTCCTTCCCTCCCCCTAGCTCTTGGCAACCACCATTTCACTTTCTATGCTGAACACCAAACGCATGGTATTATCATCTCAACACATCTATAGCCCAGGTTTTACTATCACACTCTTTCTACAGAGGGGGAAACAGAGACTGAAGGAACTAACTGCTTGAGATCACACAGCTAGTAAGCAGCAGAAGAAGGCTTTGAGCCATAGTTTTTCTCATTCAGGCTTCTATTAATTAATTGATTTGCCTCTCTGTTGGGGGTGAAGTTCAGTTTTGCTGAGGCTTTAGTGTGGATTATAGAAGATATATTGGAATAGGAAGGGATTTGAACCTGAATGGTCCCGAGTTATGGAAGGGGCTGCTCCCTAGAGACATGGGTTGAGGGTAGAGGGGCAGGCAGGTGACCAGCATCTGTCTTTTTTTTCTACTCTCTGACCTCTTTTGGGGTACCTCCTTACATGCAGATATACTGGAAGGTAGGAGGCTTCCTGTGCCTCACCTCCCATTGTGGGAACAGAAAGGGTCTGGTCCTGCCTAGCACTTGGAATCTGGGAGGAAGGATAGAGTTGAATGGAGAATCAGGATTGTTTGTTTATTCAGCCCCTAGAGCCTGCCCATTTCTTAATCTGGGGCCTCAGTCTCCTGGTGATTCTGTGGGCACCCAATGTCTTTTCCACAAGTCCCCTTTCCATGTGGCACAGTTGATCAGTTTCTGTTGCTTGCAAGTAAGGACACCGGTGTTACACAAGATCTTCTCAGATCAATGCAGAGACTGCAAGGGGTGTTGGGACAGCAGCAGTTGCTGGAACAATGGGAGACAGCTGGCTAGGAGAGGGACCTGGCACAACCTCAGGGCAACCCTGTCTTCCAGCAGCTGGATAGTGGATGATTCTCTGGGGCACAAATAGTGTCACCTCCAGGTGGCAGGTGATCTGCTATTCACTTGTTTCTATAGTTTGTTTTTGGGTAAACGTTATGCATCTTTTCCACTTGTGTTGTAAACTTTTCAAAGCCAAAGCCTCCTTTTCTATCTCTTATACAGTCATAGAAGAAGCTACAGAAGATTATGTGGTTTAGCTTCATACTTTAAAGGGTCCAATGTCCTAGACAAATAGAAACAGTTCATCTCGGAGAAGTCCCCGGCAATGGTACTGTCCCTGGCTACCCTTTCCCCGGTGTGCTGCCCATTTCCTCTACACACACTGTGAGGCTGCTTCATGAAAGCACTTCAGAAGGTCGTGAAATCACTTGGCCTTCCGTTCCCTGAGTGCCACTGATGCCCACAGGCCCTGGTACTCAACCAAAAGGGCACCAGTATCTGGGCTTATGTTGTCTGGGTAGTGAGGAAGGCTGTGGCTGCATTTTGAGAGCTCTTATGAATTTTCTAGATTGGCCAGAAATCTTAATTTTTAAAAATGGTGTCAACTAATTTGAGTTTTAAAATCCATGAGCTGAAGAAGTACCTGTGTGGGCAGATACTCTCTGGAAGCTAGCTGTTTGTAGACTCTGCATTCAGCTCCCCAAGCCTGACCTGCAGCTTAGTGCTGGTCACCGGGTGTGACCTTAGATGCTGAGGGCCTGTCCATGCTTACTGTGTCCACTCCCATGCTCTTTTTACCTTAGGATGCTTTGGACAGGACCATCTGAGGTCTGAGTCCCGCTTCTAGGTCATACCCAGGACCCGGGAAACCTCTGGGGACCTCCCTCCTCCTAAGGGCAGCTCACACCACATGGTGTGGACATCTTCAGGCCTGAAGGGTCATCAGGGATAACAGTTAGCAGGCTGAGGGCTGTGCCCTCGTGAATGAGACGCATCCCTCTTTGCGATGGGATGGAGTGGTGTGGAATCAGGGCTAGGACTAACAGCCAAGGTCCTGGCGGGACAGTCGGTAGGGTAGTTCCTTTTGTCACTGTCCTGCCCGCGTCAGGCTGCTGAATCGCTATTCGCCCCGTGCCCAGGCACTCTTCAATGCATTGTGCGCTTTGCGTCTTTGACCCTTACACCAGCTCTGAAGATGCTCACAGCAGTGGCCCGTTTTACAGGGGAAGGCACCAAGCGCAGGAAGTTGCACACGGCTAGTGAGTGCCTGCACTCGATCTATGGGAGTTGACTGTCTCAATGGCCAGTCCACTCTCTCTGGATGGGAGCCGGGTGGGCAGGGGAGCAGGGGAACCCCCCATCCCCCACTTCCCTACCCCGGTCTATCCTCAGCGGTGGTACGAGGAAGGCTTCCCGGGTCGCCAGTGACTGTCTCCCAGCTACCCGGCCTCGCACGGCCCAAGCCCCCG